TCAAATGGACTCCCTAAAATAAAGCTATTTTTAAATTGGTTTGATGGTTTCCTACTCACAGTGACGGGCTTGTTAAAACAGCACAGAAGGAGAACTGATTAAACTTACTGATGGTTTGCAGTCCAGCTGCATGCTGTTTATGTACTAGGGTAAGCTCTCTGTCTTGGCGGACAGCTTTTGAATACCTAACGGTAACCATGTTAATGTGTATGTATTTAATTACTCTTGTTAAACTCTACTCTGATCTTCAGTTTATGATATAAAACTTCATTGTTCAGTTACATTTAAAATAAAAATGGATTTCTAAGCTCCTTTTATTTTCATGTTGTGCCTGAGAGAAGCTTATTTTAGAGGACAATAACTTTAAACCATTTTGACTTTATTTTCCAGTATTGTTGTATAGCTTCTGTTTTTAAGCATAGAACAAGAAACACATAAAGTGTTAAGTATACACGAGAGCAGATACATAAAATGGAAGGTCACCAGTAGTACTGCTGCAATATTCACAATTACAGATAAAATCAGCGTATTTGATAATTTAACTCTTAAATACCACTGCAAGTAAGAATTTGTTTTCTAAATGGTACCTTGCTACAGTGATGGAGAAGAATGAAGCAGAAGGTATTCTTTGTGTATTTCCACAGTCCACAGGGTAGATTACATCAATTCAAAATGTAAGATGAAACATGGTGTCATTCTCAAAGTGAGACATTCACTTCATCACGTAATTCTGAAGCTGTTTCACAAATCATGCAAGTAGATACATATTTACTATAGTACTTAGCATATTTTCTCTCTTTAATTGTCATCCAACAAAATCAAGAGACATTTTCTTTTTTTCCAAATCACCGTCTTATGTCACTGCAAATTTTATCTTTAAAGCTTGCTATCTGTCATAGGCAAGCATTCTGTTTCATCAATTACATCATGGTGTGGCATATACTCTTAAAAGGTTCCTGTTGCTGTACAATCTATAAAAATCATGGTGTGAACATTAAAGGAGAAGAACTGCTGGCATTTTAAGATCTGTGTCAAGATTCTATCCCAGGTTAAGTGACAGTAATCAAAAAGACAGGAGACCTGAAGACAAATCTGCACGAGAGCTGAGCCAGCACAGCAGCTATTGGGAATCATTGGACAAGGACCTCTAACTGAACGGTGCTACATAAACAACTCAACAGCATTGTTTTTGATACAGGAATGTTACCATTTAATATATATACTAATCCTCAACATTAAAATCTTCTCCTGCAGCAAAGACTGAGGTATTTTTCAGTGACACAACTGCATGGGAGGAATAATTCTGTAATGCTAATGAAAATTATGTAATCAATTTGCAATCATGTTTTCCTGTAAACTCGCTTTTAATTTTACATTTGGCAAATACAGGCATTATATCCAAAAAAGCATGTGTCTCCTTCTGCAGACATGACTGACAAGGCCTGTGTGCAATATGCTTCCAAAACAAACATGACTCAATACCTTTGGGTCGGTAACTCATACAAATGATGAAGAATGTTTTTTGGTAATATTCCTAAAGTGTATCTTAGAGAAAGTAGCAATTCGTCTGTTGAATAAACATAATCAAAATTGGGTTTATAAAAATTTGCATGCTGTGTGATAATTGTGGCTTCTTGTAGGATACACACAGTTACACAAACTACTTGATTACATGGCTATACTTAAGCAAATTTGTTATATGTAAAAAAATAAACACATTTTTGAAATCTACAGCTTTACCAGACCAACATGTCTTTCAGGGCAAGCACTGAGAGAGCCACTTGACATAAAGTATGCAAAAGAAAAACAAACTATGTGATTTGCGGAACTTACAAAAGCCCCTTTTTGTGTAATTTCACAGTGATGGAATCACAGATGTGGGTAAGTTCACAGCTGGCACAATGTGAAGTGTATTTTCATGTAGGCCAGGCACTAGGTCCTCAGCAGAGGTTACCAGTTAATATCATGAGAATATTATCTGAGTTCCCAGATCCCAATCTGACCCCCGAAATTAGTCACAAAACTCTCCACAGGAATCCTCTTGCCTATAGTTTGCTAGTCAACCAAGGAAATAATTCACTATTTCTGTTTCACAATGTCAGTCTATTTCAAACAGAAACCATTTGGTGCTGAGCAATAGCACAATTTATATGTCTTCTGACAGGCTGAAATTAATATTAAAATATTAAAAGGGTTAAGAAAAAATATAAAAAATATTAAAAGGGTTAAAAATATTAAAAGGGTTAATTAGGAAAGTGAACAGTCAGAGGACTAATAAGTGCTACCTGCAAACCTGTGCTGAAAGCAGTATGTATTAAAGGTGAGTACCTATTAGACTGCTAGATGAATGTTCCTTGTTTGGAGTTAAAAAATATAAAATAAAAATCCCACAATGACTGGATACTTGGTATGTAACATATTTAGGAAAAGTATTTAAAATCCATGGATGTCCTAGTCTCTGACTGGCTTGGCCACCTAAAGATTGGGTAAGATATAAAATGGAGTGTTAAGTGTTTGCTGACTGTCTATGTTCTGAATAGCTCAGCAGACCAGAATTATTGAGTGTTTCATTGTGTCACAGGTTTCCTTATCCAGAAAGAGTACATTACTCAGCAATTAGCTAAGGACTTTATAAGGACTTCTGGAGATTTCTGCAGAAGAAATTGCCCAATGATCAATGCTTCTCACTCAAAAAATGCAAAGCCCCCATTTAATTTCTGTTTGAACTGGCTCGCTCCAGAGCTAGTCAGCAACACTGAATGTGATTACCAGAAGATCAACGAGCTGTTTCGTGCCCCATTCCTGAGGTTACACATTTTCTGAGGCTCATCTTTTTTCCTTTTCCTTATGGGATTGATCTGCACTGCTGAAGTCAGTGAAAGCATACTCAGACATAACATTGAGAAATTACTCCTTTCTCCACTGAAATCACTTGTGAGAAGAATTACAAAAACTGTTTATCACAAACTACCAAAACCCAGCTTGAGTAAGAGATCACGGATTGTCTCAGAATACTGGAAGCTGTCCACAAGCTTAAGTTTGGTGTGAACTTAAGAAGACAGTTTTAGAGGCTAAAGGGTTTGGAGGATTTTTTAAAATAGAAAATATTGTATATTAAATATTTAAATTATATATATCATATTTTATATCTGCATACACAGACACACACATGCACACAGCAGTCCTCTCCATACTGGAAAATCCAGACTGTTATCCCTAGCAGACCTTCAAGAGTTGTCAAACCTGACCCTGCTCGGCAGTAACTTTTCACAGTTGCAGTGCAGTTTGTTAGTTACATTCAGCACTACAGTTCACAAGCCTTCTAGCAGGGATAAGCCCAGGAGGAAAGGAAAATAAACTATGAACTATGTAACGAGGTGAAAACCAAGTGTTACAAGAGCACCATTCACAATGAGGAAAGGTTTGCGTCTGTGCTCCAGTGTGTGCACAATGGCTTTTAATTGGCTGGAGAGAAGACCTGATGGAAAATGCAGCAATGCTCCCCTGATCTGATGGCTCATGTGCAAATGAGCAACCTAAGTGGCAGTTGGGCATATTTTGTAGGTATACTACTGGTGTAGTTCATAAAACATTACTGAGAAGAATCGTTCTGGAAGCAATAACAAGAAAAAAACAACCATTTTTTTCCAACCCTTTTTTTAGCTACCAAAATCTTTCTATAAGTAATCCAAGACATATTGCAAATAAAGTCTTTACAATTGTCACATACACACTAACTCTGACCCTCTTCCCGGACTTATTTTGGAGCATGAGGTGCTCCGTCGTGATCAAGGGGCAGCTGTCATCAGGTGGGGATGGGTCTGTGGAGCTGTACGGTGGTGTCACACAATGCGGGAGTAGTGGTTTGGAGAAACGCACGTTAACAGCCCTCCCCTGACGCTGTTCCCCAAAACTCAGGCTCTGACGTTACGTCTTCATTTCACATTTAACTCTTGGATCTACTGAGATCAACGAAGAGAGGGCCATAATGCAAAACCGTATTTGAGCTGCACACAACAGAATTAGCAGCTCACCCGAGCGCTAGTCCCTAGCTCTAGTAGACGGAGGTTACACAGCATCCTCACTACAGGAGGATGAAAGCAGCCTGAACCTCAGAGTCCAAACGCCTATAAAGGACCCGTCGGCCCGAGGGCCGCCAGCCGAAGGGCCTTGGCAGCTGCCGGCCGGCCCCGGTGGATACAGGCGGCCTGCGGCACTAACGACAGCAGCAGCGATGCCCTCTACATAGGATAACGACCACACCGCCCCGCTCGCGTCACGTCAATCGCACAGGAGCATGCGCGATGGGGACAGCACGGGAAAGGCCACTGCCGCGCAGGCGCTCTGCCCGGCCCGTGCCTCAGTACCTGCGAGCCGCCCGGTGCTGTTGTGGCTTTCTTTTTCTTGGTGGGGCCGCCGCCTGTGCCCGGGCTCGCTGGGCGCTTCTTGGTACGGGATGGGCCGCCGGCGGGAGAGGAGGCCGCCGCGGGGATCACACTCGCCATTGCTTCCCCCCTCCACGGCCGGGCTGAGGGCACCGGCGGGGCGGAACCGAGAGAGAGAGCTTGCTCCTTCCCCGTACCGGGCGGCGGGATGCGCATGCGCAGTAGCGGCGGCGCGACCTCCGCTTCCCCGTTCTCGTCTAGGTTGTGTGGGGGAAGGTGCTAGTCATGTGGGGATCACAGGATGGTTTGGGTTGGAAAGGACCTTAAGATCATCCGGTTCCAACCCCCCTACCATGGGCAGAGACACCTTTCATTAGGCCAGGTTGCTTCAAGCCACGTCGAACCTGGCCTTGAGCACTGACATGGATGGGGCATCCCCAGCCTCTGGGCAACCTGTGCCAGGGTCTCAGCATTCTCAGGCAGGTCATGGCGGTTTGGCCCCACTTGCAAGTTTTTCCACCACGGGTGCGTGAGACCAATGCTTCAGCAGCGGGGGCGAACCTCACAGGAAGCTGCCTGCCTTCGTATTGTGTTCCTCCTACCAGGCCTGCAGTAGCTCAGGCCCCTTCTGTGCACAGTTCACCTCACCTTGGCATAGCCCTAGTGCTCCCGAGTGTAGGCAGTGACAAAATGTGGTAAGCTTGGGGTTTGCTAACTGTCAGAGGTAGGAAGTGTGCATGGCTGGAAAGGGTGCTTTCACCAAGCCCCATGTATCACAGAGGCTTTTCAGATATGCACTGAGCAGTCACTTGGGATGTGCAAACTAAAAGACTGCATAAGATTCGACTGAATGAATGCAGTCTGTAGTCTGGGACATGTGGGATCTAGTCCATGCACAGCTTGAGATCTGGAGTACAGTGCTGTGTTTGCAGGCAGTCACTATCTTAAGCCTCCTCAAAGTGAGGTAGCTTATGCACACCACTTTCAGACCACAAGAAGGGTCTGTGGGTCCCAAATGTGTCAGCGTTTTCCAGCTGCCTTGGTAAAACCTGCAGCTGGTTTTAATCGCGTCCCTCGGTTCTGAGATGATGAGCTCAGAGAAGCTTTCCTGTAAGTGTTCTATGTGGTTGTCCACACTTAAACTGTACCACCTTTAAAATGCAAATTGCAAGTAATTACAGTTGTCATTAAAGATGGTAGTCATATTTTCGAGAGAGCTGATAATGAATGTCTTTCTGGTTAATTCCTACTGCTACAGATCTGTTTGCTTCCACGCTGTTTTGACATGGCTAGTGACCTGGTCCAGCAATTTTTTTCCTTTTATTGTAATCTGGAGTAATTTTGCACTGGAGCAACATGTCAGAATAGATTTGTGATGATTCGGACAGAACTCCAAAGTTTTTTTGCAGTCCTCTTGCTCTCTGGTGCTGTTTTATACCCTACCCCAGAGAACAAGTTGGTGGCAGTAAGGGGTTGCAGACAGTTCTGGAGCTGCTTGATTGATGGCTGTTAAAACTGATTTTAGTCTTTTTATGCTTGCATACATCTGCATTCAACATACTGGTCAACTTATTACCATATTTGTTTGAGGCACCTCTATACAATGCCTCACTACTAGGTTTCTAGCTGCAGCTGTATGAGATCCTATCCCAGCATGTGCTTTGTGGGAAGGCAGAGGTCCAACAAGTTGAAGTTCAGGCATAAAAATGTCACATTTATAGATAGTGCTGTAATGAGGGCTGAGCTTGGTCACAGTAGGGGTGCCAGGCAGGGCTGTGTAAAACAAAAGCTCCGAAGGTGGCCTGAAAGAGAGCTGGAGACAAAAGCCTGGACTTCCAGGCTGTGTTCCAGGCACCTGTGTATGTAGCAGAACAGCAGGACAAGAGTTGCTTTCCAGGGGTGTAAGCAAGGCCTTGTACAAACACCCAAGTCCCATCTTCTCCTCCCCAATGGTAGTTGTTGTCTTTCTTTCTGAGTGTGTGGGCTGCCAACAGCACTGCAAAGCCAACTGGTAAACATGATTGTGTTTGCCCTCAGTGACTGTTCCTGGCTGTTGCATATGATGCAGTATGTGTTTCTGCCTGTTTCAGGTGACAGCCTCCTGTCGCATGCCCAGCATGGTGACCTGAGCTTGAAATTAGCAGGAACACTGGGAATTTCCAGGGAGTCATGTTCCCGGACAAAGCCAAATGTGCTGTGCTGTGTGCTCAGAGCATTGATCTTAGTCAGCCTTTTTTTGTTCCCAGGGCTGGGTCCCATCCCTTTCCCACGCACATGCTGTGTGCTCAGCTCCCAGCATGCCCGATTAAAAAAGAAAGTGTGCCTTATCAGAGGAATGTTTTTACTGAGAGGAGCAACTTTAATGCCACTGCAGAGTAGATGTTGCATGTAAGTCATGCAGTGAATGAACATGCTGCATCAGTGAAAGTTTTTAAATAGCATTTACCCAGGCATTTTCTTATCTGTACCCATTTTTATCAATCAGTTGTCTCGAAACAAGATCACAAGGCCCATGTGTTGTTGCAGCAATATTAAATGCAATGCAATTTTACATGGGACCAAATGCTTTACAATCCCAGGAGGCCTACAACTCACTGGAAAATAGCATTAATGGCAATGTAAACGGTGAGAGTGTCTGCAGGAGATGAGTAATGGAATTAGGGATGTGGGAAGGGCTGTGGAGTTGCAAGGCAGCCATCTCCCTGCTCCTTGAGCGGCTGCCCACACCCAGCCCTGCTGAACATTGAGAGGGGGTGTTCTGGTGAGTAAGTGCATATGTATCTTGCTAGGTTCCTGTTACACACGTAAACAGGCAATTGCTTTGTCATATGGATGAGGGCTTGCCTGAAGAAGTGCACATGCAATTGCTAGTCTGCCTTGGTGTGACATGGCTTTTCCTCCTGCTTATTCTAAACCTGGCTTGAGGTGAACCCCCTTTCCCTCATTAGTACTGCAGTGCCTATTTTTTTATATGCTACCTGGCTAATAAAAATTAAATACCATTCAGCAATAATCCTGCAAGCTTTTTGATGTGAACAGTCACCCATCTGCCTGTTAGTAATAGTGTCAATGAACTGGAAAGGCTCCTTGTACTTTTCTTGGTAATAGGTGTGGAAAAATGCAGGAGTCTCCTGAATTAGGGAAGAAGATCTCAGGCTCCTAGCCCAGGATTGTGAGGTGGTGTTTTGGTTTTGTTATGTGTGGGGTTTTTTTCCTTTCACTGAATCAAAAGTGGCCACAAACAATAGTTTTCTCATCACACAGAGGGGATCACTGTGAAGCTGTTGATGCATATGAAGGGTGGGGGATGCTTCATGATTAGGATAATTTAAGATTTTCTATTTTATTTTTTCCTTCATGGAGGAAGAAAATGATGACAGCAGAAAATGTTTGGAAAACCAGCAGAAGGATCTTTAGCATGAATTAAGATAAGGCAGAGTAGAGAGCAAGGCAGCTGTGCAGGATGTGTCTGTGAGCTGTGGGGGTTGTGGAAGGGCTCTGCTGTGGGCTGAGAGGCATCACATCAGCAACGACTGACCTGAAGTGGAAAAAGATGCTGCCGTTATGAACGTCACTAGTGTGTACCTAGAGGTGCATCAGCAGCTGGTGAAAATCCATAGGCCAGAAGTGTTGGGACAGGTCACACCTCATCAGAGCAGCTCCCTGTCCCAGCCCCAGCAGCAGCTTGCTAGTGAGTAGAGAGCTTTGCCAGCTCCCTTCCTACCTGTACTGTGAACTGGCCCAGCAAGTGGCTGCTTGCAGAGAGACACCCTACAACTGCCACATTTGGGCTGAGTGGGACCAAATGCCTTGGACGCTGCTGGACCAAATGCCTTGGTACTCTTCTGCTTCATCAAAAGGAAAAGCCAGTATCCACAACTATGAATTTGTTTTGCTCTAAGCTTTGCAATTAAATCTAACTCGGTACATAATTTACATCCCACCTGCCTGTTAAGCTTTCAATATTCCTGCTAGTTTTACTTCTGTACTACCAGAAAAATGGGGTTAAAAATTAAACTGTCTGTGGCTTTACTTACTGGCCATATTGCAGTTTATAAAGTGATTTAGTATCCAAAATGTTGTGAGAGCATATACATAATCCCTCTGTATACCACTGAGTTAAATTGAAGGCTTTAAATTTCTCACATAACCTACTTCTGCATTTCTTTTGGTATCTACAAAGTGGGGATAACTTTTTACTAGGTGGTAAATTGAACTCAATGTAGGAAGTTGTGGCAGTTAGATACATTGTCTAGTGATGGTTACGTAGTGATTTGTACCATTACAATCGACTGGCCGTGGTATCAGACAACTTTTCTGTTAATTCAGCCATCTTTAGAAGCATTGCACATATGTAATTTGTGTTATAATTTGTAAGGTTTTAACTCTTTTTAAAGACACATTTTATTTTAAAAAATAACTTTTTTTTAAGCTGTGTATGTGTCTATCAGGTGTCATTTGCATTTTTATAGAGGCTCTGGAAAAAGAAAGGATTGAAGTTCTCAGCTTCGCTGCTCTATCAGGTAAAAAGCAATAGATTCATGCAGGGTAGCTTGTGAGGTCTGGTGGCATTTTGTACATTATTCTTTAAAAGTACTTGGAGGCTTTGATGACTTTTCAGAGCCTGCAGCTTGAACTCTTGTGATTTGCATTTGTTCCCTGCAATTTGCAGCTGCAGGCGCTGCATTAGCTTTGTTTAAATATAATGCCAAGTGCCTTTAAAATAGGTATTTGAACTTTGGATTAAGGAGACTACTTGTGTGATATTAAAGGCCTTTTTACTGCACACATCAAATATATAATTTTCAATGCAATCTTCCTGTTAGAAGTTTTGAAAAAGACATTTCTGTATTCTTAGTAACACAAAAAGAGAAGCAGGTCTTTAGAAATGCCTTCTGTGCCATTTTCCTAGTAGCCTCTCCTTCTCTAAGTTTATTTTAAAATGTGATGAATTTGACACATCAGAAATGAGCAGTAAGAGAGGAGTCAAAGTGCTGTTCTGTTTGCAGTTTAGTTGTACTTAATTTGAATTTTTTTGCTACTAATAGTAAAGTTAGGCTGGCAGCACGCTTGCCACTTATCAATGTTGTTACATGAAGTGTGGACGACTGACCAAAATTTGTGTGAATGCTGTGTCTGGCAAGTTTAATCGAAATACTGTGTAGGCAAGAGAAATCTATCACAAGATGTTAGGTTAAATACAGATTTTGTTATGGTGAAATAGAGTTCTACACTGGAAAACAAGTGACATGTAGTGTTTGACTTTGATTCCAAATGCTACACTGTTGGCATATACTGTGAGAGGAAGAAACTGGTCATTGTGCAGTTAATGGAACCCTGTATTCTCTATATTCTGGATAATTATTTATTATGCAATATTTAACATATTTACCCACTGTCTCAAAAGATTTATGAATTAATTTATCATACCAGATTTAATCTTATCTTTTTGAAAGTGAAAATGGGTTAAGAATTTCCCTATTTACTTTGCATTCAGATTCTGATGAATGTTTTCCGCAGTTATTCATGTGAACAAGTTCTTCATTTCTGAAATGCTCAGCTGAGAAAGATAAAAATGCCATGATACTCATTTGCATAATCTTTAATACAGTAACCACCTTGAAAATGCTGTAGGTTTGTAGACTGCAAAAAATGTGGATTAGCTGAGTAAGTAACCTGATTTATGAATAAGAGCTCTGTGGAATGGCAAATAGTTTGTGAGCAATCTGGAGACTGAGCATGGTCATAGAATTAATTTATTAATAATTTTAAATAAAGAATAAATTCACAGAAATAAAAGTGTCCCATTGAATTACTTAACAGAACAGGGGTTGAAATGACTTAATAAACTGCTCACAGGGATTAGCTCATGCATCTTTGCTTGTTAGAACAAGTCTTCCAGTGCTACAGCACTTTTAGTTCTATGGTAATTCTGCATTTGCCTGTAGATTGAGGCTGTGATATTTTTACTGCAATTAGGATATAAATTTGAGTAAGTTAATATTGTCAACAGTATCTGTACTAGTGGGCCATCTGTGAATGTTACAGCTTTGCTCACTTATTTTCTCGATGCAAAACCCGCCCCACAAAAGATGAGGATGCAGAGCACA